AAATACTATCCCTAGGCTTTCAACTCTATAAGGCAGAGATCATATCTTGTTTCCTACTGTATCATTGTTACCTGGTCCCATATATGGTACAAGAAGGCTCTTCTTTTTATTCCTGCTACATGTGACAGCCTTGCCAGAGGGCAACACTAATTAATTACCCCCACTGTTTATATATAATCAAACTAGGCTTGCAGTAGGGGAGAAATAGGTAGGGAAATAAGTGAAATAATGGATATTCTTAACCTACCATCAGAGTGTAGCTATTTGCAAGACTCAAACGTATATTGATCAAAACCACCATGAGGTACCACCTCACACCGGTCAGAATGGCCATCATAAACAGATCCACAAACAATAGGTGCTGGTGAGGCTGTGGAGAAAAGGGAACCCTAGTCCACTGTTGGTGGGAATGCAGACTGGTGCAGCCATTGTGGAAAGCAGTGTGGAATTTCCTCAAAAAGCTGAAAATGGAACTGCCTTATGATCCAGTGATTCCCCTGCTGGGACTATACCCTAAGAACACCAAAACACCAATACAAAAGTACCTATGCACCCCAATGTTCATAGCAGCACAATTTACAATAGCCAAGTGTTGGAAGCAACCTAAATGCCCATCAGTAGATGATTGGATCAAAAAGTAATGGTACATATACACAATGGAATACTACGCAGCAGAAAGAAAAAAAGAACTACTAAACTTCGCGACAGCATGGATGGAACTGGAGAGCATTATGCTAAGTGAAATAAGCCAGGGGGCGAAAGACAAATACCGTATGATCTCACCTATAAGTGGAACCTAACCAACAATACAAAGATGCAAGGAAAATAAGACCAGCAACACTGAAAGGAAAAGAAATCAACAGAGACAAGAGGGAAGGGGGGGGGGCAGGGAAAAGGAAGGGAAGGGGAAAGTCAAGGAACATATAGCAAGGACTCATGGACAAAACCAAAGGGGAAGCTGAGGGAGGGAAGGAAGGAGGGGGCAAGGGAAAATGGTGGGGGGGGGGCAGAGACAAATGTATTTGAAAAAATAAAATTAAATTAAAAAATGTATATTGAATATAATTTTCAAATGCATGTTAACCAGCTGAAGGCTCTAGAAAATTATTTTTTACAAACCTCTAAGTGTACATTTGCAGGCACTTTGACTCTGCTTTTTAGTCTTTTAATAGATTGATGCTTTAGAAAGTGAGGTGGGGGTGGATGGGGCAGGGGAAAGTGGTGGCGGGAAGATGGAGACAAAAGTATTTGAACAATAAAAAAGAATAAAAAAAGAAAGTGCGAAAGTAAGATTTCTTTTTTTCAAAGCATCTCATAAAGGAATTTTCAAAAGCAAATGCTTTGAAAGTGGGAAGTGTATTGCCAGCTGATGGCTGCAAGGTTAAGCGCTGTTCCATTTTCCTCCACGTTGGGTAACCAGAGTTCCTTCTGGAGGTTGAATCCTGGCTTGGCTCCAATGGAGAGTTTACAGACTCTCAGAATGTGTATTAAATATGAGTAAGGCAAGGGCCCCACCCAGAGGGAAACAGTTTAAGGAGATGGCCTGCCAAGATGGGGCCTGTGGACAGGGTCACCCTCAGTGTGCCCCTGAAGAGCTTGACAGGGAGGCAGATAATGGAAATGGAAGAAGGGGTAGAAAGGGCCAATAAGGAAACCAGTGGAGAAGAATGTCTGGGGAGAGACTGAACAGATAGGAAATATTAGCAGGACTTTGGGCAGTGAAGGCATTAAAATGTGGCCTTTCAACAGTTTGTATTCAGCCTATAGCAGTGAGTTGAATGTGCATAGAACGTGCTTTTTATGTAGTGCAATGGCAGTATTGGATTGCATCATGAAGCAAGTCTAATTTTTATAACCTTTGACTCTCTTGGTAACCCAGAATATTAGAGAAAAAAACACAGTAGGTCAAATACTGGGAATGGAAACAAGATTGGGTACAGTCAGGATTCTGATACAGGCGGAATACATTTCAGGAGAAAACCCCAAGGGTTCCAACTCTTTATTTATTGTGAAACTTTTATAAAATGATTAAAATTACTTGAATTAAGTAGGTCAGTGCTTAGATATGCTTTATTTCTGCTGAAACTTTTTTTGTTGCAATGATATTTATCTTTTTTTATTCCCAATACTGTGCAGCAGTGTGCTTTAAACAGAGTGGACACCTAATACTTATTTGTTAAAAGAATGAGTGAGTGATCAATATTTGTTGTACTAGGATTTTATCTGTAATACAAAATAAACTTTGGTGCTTTTCCCTATTTTCCTATCTTATATCAACCTCGTTTTCCTCCATTCATACCTCCAAGACTCTAGCAGAGCTTCTGAAAATGAGCATCAAATATTTGCTTTAGATGTCCACATGTGGATTCTCTTGCACACCACACGGCTTGTATTGAGTGGCACTTGCTTGGTCTTTCTAAGAAGAGAGCCTCGTGATGTGGTGATCACTACACAGCTTTGGTGACTGTGCACACGTACAGGGTCTGGAAGAGGTAGAGAAATACCGGGTGACAAAGGTGTCAAGAATCCGATGGATTCCAGTTTCATTTGCTTTCATGATTTCTGTTTATACTCATGTGGCTACACACGTATGCGGGAGAGGAGATGGACAGCTAAGATCTCCTTAAGAGGAAGAGTGCTTAGCTTTTCATTACAAGTTACGAATAATGATTGTCAGGTTTTATTGTGATTAATGAAACTCTGGAACTGGCAAGAAAAGAGTTGAGAAAATGTGCAAAAAATGAAAATTGGTAAGGATGGAATATAATTCACAGGAAACCCAGAGCGATGCCTTGAAAGGACCTCTGTTTCCTACATATCAGACAGCCTTGGTGTTTCCTTTCTATGTAGAGAGATCGTCCAGAAACTTCTGTGGCTCCCATGGTTTTTGCCTAATTTGCATCTCACAGATTTCAGCTTACTGTGTAATCATGATTCTGTTAGGAAATCTGATACACATTGTTTAATACTCTTTGGCTAAGATTAATTTTTTTATTATGAGGTGCCCATGCAATCACACACACACATTGTTTTGTTTGCTTGTTTTTTTGGAGAACGAGAAGATGTGAATAGTTATATTTCAAATAACTTCTTTTACTATTTGTCTTTTTGGATTTAACCAATTGTTTCCAAAATAATTTACTTGACTTAATTTCCCCCCAAACCAATTTATACTTACAGGTAAAACAGCTCAAGTCCAAGTTCAATAGTATATACTATTTCATACTATAAGTACTGCAAAATCCTATATTCACCTCACAATTATCAGTCATCTAGACTGTGATATTCTGATGAGGTTCTGCAGATATTTCTATAAGTTCATTTGATCAGCAAAGGCTATCTTAGTTTTTCACAGAATATAATTATAAGAGTATCAAGAATTAGGACTCCAGTGGTAATGGAAAAAAATACAATAAAATAAATTAAAAAATGGGGAAACAAAAGGCAATTGATAGTAATAAAGTATAGCTTTTTAATTAAAAATTTAAAAAAAGAATTAGAGATTCCATTTATAACAGACTACCTATATGAGAACGGGCAGAACTAATTACTTGGCATGGATTCCTAGCATTTAGAACAAGTTGCATTATGGGAAATTTAAAGATTTTTCTAAAAGTGTGATTGTCCTATGACACTTGGCACAGTAGGGATGTTTTCAAAATGAAAAACTTGGGATAGCACCTAGGAACATGGGAAACATATGACACACCGCCACGGAGGACGACAGACTTAATAGGCTGACAACACACCAGAGCACGGCAGGACCGCCTGATCCCACCCACGGGCCCCACGTCCACGTTTCTGCTGTATCCCCCTTTGACAGACAGAAACGTGTTTCTGAGTGTTATTTGTCTGCCTTTATCTTTACTACTCTAATCAATACCACTTGCTTTCTTTCTAATAATTATTTTGAGGCCAATCAATTGCTTGAATTAAAGGTTTATGAATCTTCAACTATTATATAGGAGAAAATTTAACAAAATATAGCTTCTGAGGAGCATGATAAAGAAAATAAACCTTCACCTATTATCACTTAAGCCTTGGGATATCCTGTTAAGCATTAAAAATATTATTCAAAATTAATCAAAAAAGCATATCTGAAGAATAGATTGGTTTAATAGGTAAATAAGCACCCTAAGCCATCTCTGTACGAATGCCGAATCCTGTCTTTACTCCTTTTGACCTCCAGGTGGAGCTGTTTACCTAGACATGGGCGGCAGGCACCAAGACCCATTTCCTTGCCTTAGGTTCATAGCTGGGCTTTCATTTTTTATTTTTTTTTTCAAAATAATTTCCGTTTCCACAGATGTGTTCTTTTAAATGGTCAATAAATTTTTATAACCACTATTTGAAAAATTGCAAGATTATTTTGATTTGTGCTTCCTACTCAGGAATATTTCTTTATGTCTGGGACACACCCAGAGTCATGTTTACTTTTGTTCGTTGGTTCCACCGTTTCTACTCTTCCTTGTGCCTTAGAACCCAGGCTCAGCCACAAACATTTGGGCTGTCGTTTGAATTCATCCAAGTCCCTTAAAACGTTTCCGTGGCTTAAAAATAGATTTCTAGTTCAGTTAAGTAAAGAATACTGTCTTTAAAGAAATGTTTTTATCCCCCAAAGCCAGTGAGTGTTCCTAGCAGACCTGACCTGTTTTTTGGTGAGGGGAGCTTGTCAGACACCAGAAATGTTTTGATCATTTTAGGTCACTTTTACAATGACACCTTGGAGTCCAATCCAAATTTCTCAGAAAAGTGTTCCTAGGGAAAAAAAAAAAACAAACCAAAAAACAAAAAAAAAACTGAGAGGAAGTCACGGACAATTTCTTTCCACTTAGACTTTTAGTGCCAGGAATACTGGAAAATTCATTCTACAATGTGAACCTAGGATGGGAGCACAGTGGTATCGATTTTAACATCGGTGAGATTTGGAATATTTAAGATTGGTTTTTAAAAAATAACCAACTAACATGCTTTTCTCTCCTTTTCTTTTTTGTCACAAGGGGTTTGTAAATAAGCTGGATGAATTCATTCAATGGTTAAATGAAGCCATGGAAACCACTGAGAATTGGACACCCCCGAAAGCAGAGACGGATGGCCTTAAACTGTACCTGGAGACACACTTGGTAGGCAAGACTGGGTTGCTTTCATTGGTAGTAATGAAAGGATTTTAATGCACTGCTTGTTTGTTTATGGCGAATATCAATTTTATTTATCAGAAGTCATTATATGCTAATGAAACCAAGTTTTAATGGGGTAAACTGCAGTAGCTGAAAATTTATAGGCATTTCAAGTAAAACTATGCAATCTAACTCCTCCATATTTCAACCTATTTTTCAAAACTTTTTTCCAGAAACTTAAGTAATTATTTTTAAAAATATCTTAGAAAATTTTATTAGACCCTTACTCTCTAAAGCAGTGATTGAAGGTTTTTCTTGTCTTAAAAAAATATAAATGAAAGGAATAATTCTGATGACCATTCTAAGCTTTCTAGAATTCTTGTAAAATTAATGAACCTCTCATTATCAAGAGGGTCTACTTTATCAGTTCTACACTGGGTTATTTTAATAAAATATTTAAAGCGATGATCTCCATCATTTTTGCTGCTATGTGGGTTTTCAGCATATAATTAATACAACTGTCATTACACTCGTCCCTGTGCAGAGGGACAACCGTGGAGGGGAAGTGGAAAACACTTGGATGAATATGCTTCTGAATATGTTAGAAGCAAGAATTATAGACTGGGGGACATTTGATGAACCTCATGAGGTTTTTACTGAATGCTTCAAATGGCCGATATCAATTATGAAGGGGTGGAAACCAAGTAGTGGAGTGTGATAAAGCATGAAGAAAAAGCACATTGTCATAGGAAATGAAAATTCAAGCTTTAAGGATCTCATCTTTATTCCTTTCACCGATAGCATAAAATTGACAAAGGTAATGAACACGAATCCTTGGGTACCCAACTGTGGGGTTGATTTTCTGCCCCTTTTACACACTCAGAATACGGATTGAATAAGCATTCACAGGTTTTCAGAACTGCTCCGCTGTGTTAAGTGAGAGAGAGAGGAGAGAGAAGGAGGAGAGAGGGGGTGAGGAAAGTGGGGGAGAGAGAGAAAGAAAGAAATTTTTTGGTGTTTGTGTTTTGCAGTGTTTTATGTCATTGCAAGAAAAACAGTCTCAAAATCCTGCTGCTGCATGCAGTCTTGTGGATGGTAAAGAATGACAAACCTGTGTGGTAGAAGCTGAGTGTATTGCTTCCCTTTTTAGAGACCTTGGTTGATGGTGTGTAAAAATGCCAGTAACCTTAAACACCTCTCTTGTACATGGGTTTTTAAATACTGCCCTTAGTACTCAATTCCCTGTTGAGTAGAGCATTGATTTTTTTAAAGAGGGCATTTCATAATAGCAAGATAAAGATATTCAGTGCTTTATAATGTAAATTGTATTAATTAGAATGTCAACTTTTCACTGGCATTGTTCTGACAGAAATTCTAATCTGTGTTTAAACAGGAGTATATGAACTTTATTTCACATTAAGTGTGCTGTCTTAATCTCTCTTGATTTAATATTTTATGGAAAACACACATTATTTTTTGAGGTCCCCGAGGGCATGAGGACATGAAGAGTGCTTCAACTCTTTTTATTGAAAGCCAGGCTAAGAGAGTATGAACTGAGGTCTCTTGTCTTTTTGGGAGCTGAGTGACATGTCCGCTTTATAACCAGTGTCCTGTTCTCAAATCAGTGCTACAAATCTAGGTTCCTTACATAGCATCCTTGTAATGTCCTCTGCCTCATTCTAGTCCAGCACTATCCTCTAGAACTTTCTGCGATGATGGAATATTTTATATTGCTTTGTCCAATATGGGAGCCACTAACCACGTGTATCTATCTGCTGAGCGCTTGAAACGGAGGTAGAGCAACTGAGGAAATGAATTTTTAATTCTCATTAACTTACATGTAAATTTAAATTTCCAAATGTGGCTTGTGACTATTGTGTTCTAGCCTTATAAATAGCACAGCTCTCTACAGCTGACCACAGTGTGCTGCAGTTAGCCTTACTTGCCTCATAATGACATTGTCATCCGAAGTGTGGAAACCATTATCCCCTTTACTATGGGTCTCTTCTTTAGATCCACAGCAGAGTCCTTCTTAAAATGTTTCTCTTAAAGAACAACCTTGCTTCTGCCTAAAGACCTACACTTTCTTGAACCAGTTTTCTCCATGCTCCTGTCTGATCATATTGGTTTAAATAGAGATAAGATAGCAATGTCTTTATCTCTGCTTTGCAAATAGTGAGGGGTGATGGTATTCAGATCTATTCACTGGATGTTGGGTCACAATCTCAAATTTCACTTCTGAAATTATGAGTAATAATGTCTAACAGTTACTGAAGACCTAGTATGTGTGGATCCCACTGAGTGATACTTAAGGGTAATTCCTGAGTCACTGTTATACTGCATGCTGTGTCTGTTACTCTAGATATAGCCTTATTTTTTTAAACATCTTTAAACTCCAAATTACTTTGTCTCTCTGGGGATAATGTCTACACTGTCTTCTGATCAATATTGTTGTTTATATTTTTTATTGTATTTCCTTACTGTGGTGCTGGGTTAACATTAAATTATTCTTCTCAAAAGAAGGCCCCCCCCAAAAAAATACCTACCTTACCATAAAGGAAGTCTGCATACAACTAAGCCTACAAATTTATATTCCTTACTTCACCCTGAATAAGTCATTACTGCTTGTTAATGAGTGGGCAAATTGTATTTGCAAGATTTTTCAGCATGCAGACAGAGGTAGCTATATGAGTTTCTTTAAACATCTCTACAGATTCTGTAATTTAACAACAAATCAAAAGATGTGCAAACCCCTGAGTTTAGTATCTATTCTGGTTTAATAATGTGTTAGAATACTTGGCGCCCTGCAATGTTTATCGTAAAGAAAGACAAATAAATACAAAAACAATAACAAAGTTGTACATTTATATTTTGATACTTAATTCAATTATTTTCCATGACAGTAACCAAGGGGTTTTACCAACACAAATCAATTAAAGCTTCACAATACCTTTATGAGAGATGTGAAGGAGCTTTATTTTAACTGTAAGAAGTACTGTGAAATTGCAATGATACATCAATGATTTTCCATGATAATTAATCATCTGCTTGCAACCTGGCTGCTCCTTTCAAAAATGCAATTCCTATCTTCCTAGAAAATGACATTTTTAGGAAAATGCCATTCTAGAAAGGTATTTTGTGAGTATGGAAGATATTGAACATCCCTTTTTTTTGAAAATCACTTTTTGAAACAGCATTGTATACGTATGTCCTTACATGGACTCCCTTCTTTCTCACCTCTATCCACTTTTTAAAAATAGCTGTACTGAGGTATAACTGACACAAAATAAATTGTATCTATATAAAGTATATCATTTTACAACTTTCCACACATTGACCAATGTATATACTCATGAAACCATTACCACAATCAAGATAGTGAACAAATCCACTACCTTCCAAAGCTTCCTCACAACCCTTGTAATTTTTCCTTCCATTCCTGCAGGTTTTTCTCCTTCCCTAAGCAGTCAGATCTGCTTTCTGTTACTGTTATTGAATAAACTACTTTGTACTTTCTGAGATTCTACATAGATGGTATCAAACAATATGTACTCTCTCTTTTTGGGGTAATATCTGGTTTCTTTCACTCACCACACTTATTTTGATATTGTATGTTTTAATTGTTCATTTATTTTTATTGCTGAATAATATTCCATTGCATAGATAGAGCAAACTATGTTTATCCACTTGCCTGTTGATGGACATTTAAGTTGTTTCCCCCACCACCATTTTTATTGGCTAGAGGCAAAATTCGGCAAAAACTGCTTTTGAGTAGAAGCATCATAAGTAGTTCTTGGCAGACTATTTAGATATTTTTTTCCTTTGAAAGAATTTATAGTCTTCAGAGTTAGAGTGCCTAAAAGCAAAGCAGCAGAGCAGGACAGCAACTTCTCCTTTGCTCTTAAAAAGATAACTCTGATCTCCCAAGTAGTTTTTACGCACGCCTCACTCACCAAATGGACACCACATCCTATGCAAACAGTTGTGGAAAAACAAACCAAAGGGCTTTTTTTTTAAAAAAAAAAAATTATAGCCAATCAGAGTATCCAGTAGGAGAAACCTAAGTCAAATGGACACCAGAGAGCTGTGTGAGAATTAGGAAAAAGTCCAAGTACAGGACTTCACTTAAACTTGGGAGATAAATTTGCATAGGTCATGCTGGGCAACAATTAACCAACCAAATAGAAATAGCCTTGGAAAAACAACATTCTTAACTGAGTTTGATAAGTGAGAAAACATGGGAGAAATGGTGACGATGAGTTCATGTGTATTAAGCACCCGTGAGTGCCAGGCAGTTATTAGGTGCTAGGAATATGTGATGAATGAGTTAGGCTTCTTTTCCTCCAGGGATTTCCAATGTAAGGAAGGTGACCATAGATTAAATGTAGTCATCTGTAGACCCATAAATTAATGTAATGCAATTTGAGCAGTAAACTTCTTGTAGCATAGGCAAAGTACTGGTTAGAGCACAGAGAAGAGTTTCATTGGTTCTTCCTGGAGGATAGGGAAGGCTCAAATAGATAATTTGATGGACACCTCACAGGGTATGTATGATGTGTCAGATGGACAGGGAAGGAGAGGAGATGGGAGGAACTTTTGTGGGCAAGTGAGGGAGGTGTGGTGAGCCATCTGGTGTGGCTGAGACTGAGGTGGAGTTTTGTAGAATTTACATGTGAAATTTCTGGGCAGTAAAGGAGATTGTCTTTTTAATGGACTGAGCTTTTCTCTGGGGGAATGGAGACTCATTGAAGGTTTGCTTTTATTTTAAAACAGGAGAGTGACGTGAATCAACCACCGATTCCATGGGGTAGGATCTTGGTGTAGATGAACTGAGTGAAGTCCATGGCTTAAATAAGAGAATAACGACAGGCATCACAGACAATGGATTGAATATATAGCATTTGAAGGGCACGCCAGGACAAGGAATATGTTATGAATTCCTTTAAGTGTATTTTGGACTAATATATGGATATAACACAGCATTCTAAAGGCAAATAAGGGAGGGG